TGTACAGAATACTTTGCTGGCAGTCAGATCATGTTTTGGGCATCAGACTTTGAATTACGTCAACAGCATTTATGTATTGCAAACCAAAAAAAGACATGAAATTTTGAGTACAGTAAGAATTTTTCACATAGATTAACTAGGCAAATAAAAATTAAAACTTCTAGTTACTATCATATATGCACGCCTGTACTACCTATTATCATCAAGGTGAGGATTTGTGTGAGGATCTTCAACCATTTTTTAAAAAACTAGCAAATGAGGTAACCTTACAATTCAACATCTAAAACAATTTTAACACTTAACTATAGATTGCTGTTATGAGAGTGGAAACAAACAAAGTCGAAAAAGAATTGGAAAATTCCCACGGCTTAGTATCAGACACGGAAATCACATCAGCCCTTTGCAATTCGGCTGATAAAAAATCACCAAAATTGGAAGGTTACCTTTTCAAAAGGACCTCAAATGCCTTCAAAACTTGGAACCGAAGATGGTTCTATTTGTTTGATAATAAACTTGTTTACAGGTAATGATTTTTTCAAATTAATATTTTATTTATTAAGAATTATTATTAGGCGAAGATCTGGAGATGAACATGAAACAGTAATGGAAGATGATTTGAGAATTTGTACCGTAAAACCTGTAACAGATGGAGAGAGAAGATTTTGTTTTGAAATTGTTTCCCCATCCAAGTAAGCATGAAATTACAAAAAAATTGTTACTTTATATTATTCCTCTAGAAACCACATATTACAAGCAGACTCAGAAGACATGTTTCAATTATGGATAGAAGCTTTACAAAAAGGCATTGGTGCCGCAATCCAAAAAATTCAAAGCATTGATATACAAAAAAACACGGAAATAAACAAAAGCGAAAATTCTGGCTTTGACAATAATAACAAGACAAAAAGCAAGAGGTACTTTAATTGTATTTTTGTTAAATTTTGTTCAACAAACTTTTCAGGGCCTGGGAACAAATAATAAAACTCCCAGGAAACAACGTTTGTGCCGATTGCAAAGCTCACCGACCCCAGTGGGCCAGTATTAATTTGGGAATTGTCTTATGCATTGGTAATTGTCCAAAAAAAATTCAACTAATTTATATATTATGTAGTTCTAATTTTTTATAGATTGTTCTGGTGTTCATAGAAGCCTAGGAGTACATCACAGTAAAGTAAGATCCTTAACCTTAGATGACTGGGAGCCTGAAGTTGTTAAACTGATGACAGAGTTGGGAAATACTGTTGTTAATAAGATTTATGAGGCTAAAGTGCCTGAATCAATTCAGAAAGCTTCTGATCAATGTCCAGGGTAAGAATATACTCACTTAGTAGTAATTTTGTAAAATAAAACTATTTTATGAAATAGCACAATTAGAGAAGACTGGATACGTAAAAAATATGTTGAAAAACTATTTGTAATGGATTTGTCTGAATTATTGCAATCAGATTCACTATCTGATGGGCTTTGTTTAAACTCAAACAAAGATAAGTGGCGGGTTAAAAAAGGTGCTAAAGCAAATGAGGTTCTAAAAAATCAAGCTGAATCTGAAAGTGACTGTGATGAAAATTCAAGCTGTGATATAAATCAACAGACCGAAGAAGAAGATAATAATTATGGTGGTAAGAAAGAATCAACCTCTAACAATTGTAGATTTCACAAAAACTATTTTAGCTGAAGAAACTATAGAAAATTTACATTCCAACCTATTACTGTACAAAGCTGCGGAGTCTTATAATTTGATAGTAATGTGCCAAGCATTTGCTTTGGGTGCTGAAAAAAGTTGGACAAACGAACAAGATAAAAATAGGCAACCTTTACACGCTGCAGTAATAAGTGTATTAATGGCCAAAAATAATTATAAACAAATAAATTTAATATTATATTTGCAGGGTTCAGTGTTGCCATGTGTTTATTTATTACTTAACGGTGCTAGATTGAACGTTCAAGACCAAGATGGTAAAACCCCGTTGCATTTAGCCACATCTGAAGGCCACACTGCGCAAGTTTGTCTATTTTTAAAGTACCGAGCCGACCAACATGTGAAAGACAACGAAGATAAAGTGCCTTTGACTTTGGCAGAGGAAAAAGAACATGCTGATATTGTTACTTTGTAAGTCATATTATGTGTTCACTTTAAAGCAAAAATTAATTGATGTATTTTGCAGGCTTAGACTAGGGCGATTAAATGAAGAAATGAGAGACAACGAAACCACCGGGGATGAAATGTTCAACGACGTAGTGCGAGATTTTTCCAGGCTTGCTTATTCCAATCCAGAAAAATTACAGAGGCAAAAATATGATGTATAAAAGAGATCTCATAATTTTTGATGTTCTGGCAAAAATCTGTAGTTTTTGGCTTCTTAACATCATGCTTCTAATATATGCTTAAAAATGTTAAGATTTTAATTATTCAAGTATTGTTTTGCTCATGCTGCCTTTAGTGCATTATTTCCTAGTTTTAATTCCATTAGCCTAAATTAATTTTTTTTTCATATTAATTTGTATATTTTTTATGTATTTTTTTTCAGATACTGTTTAAGATTATTTACAATTTTTAAGTCATATTTACAATAAAAAAACTTAGAATTGAAGTATTTCTCTTATTTACCTAGATTTTATTATACAGTGTGATTTTCGCCGGCATGTAAATGAATCTAACTTGGAATCTAGAAAATATTGGCTTTATTCGGGCAAAAATATAATCGCGTTTATTCTGGATTCTACACGAATAAATTGCGAATATATATAGGCCGGTATAAGTGTTAGTAGTGTAACAAAGCTACATAATTTTCCGGGTATTTTAATGATTGCTATCGCGGTTGTAAGTTAATTACTTCGGCCGGATTAATTCCACATGATAATTAATAAGTAAGCCGGTTACCGCCTTTACCATACCAGGGATGGGTCTATACCAGTTTCGAGTGATGCCTTTTGGGTTACACTCCGCTCCTGCTACATTCTAGAGGTTAATGGACCGCATTATCGGCCCAGAACTAGATAGTTATGCTTTGCATACCTGGATGACATTATATAATCCTTGGCGAAACTTTTGAAGAACACCTGGATAATTGAACCGAAGTAATCCGACGTCTGAGAGCGCAAAATTACGACTAAATCCGGACAAATGTGAATTTGGATAACGTTCTCTCCGATATCTGGGATACCTTTGTCACTGCCGAGGGCGTCCGAACCAATTCAGACAAAGTAGAGGCAATCTGAGAACTGCCAGCTCCTACTAATATCCGTGGCTTACGACGCTTTCTGGGAGTAGCGTCGTGGTACCGCTGATTCCTACAGATTTTTTCACAAATAGCTAGCGCACTTAACCGCCTACTTAAAAAGGGTATCCGATGGACTTGGACCAATGTTGAACAAGCGGCTTTTGATACTAATAAAAATACTATATTTGTTTAATTTTTTTTAGGTTAATTCCGTGAGTATAAAATGTTGTGGAAACAGCCAAACAATCGTATTTATTTTTTATGATCACAGTGGCAACGTTGCAAAAAAGGCCCCCCGCCGTGAAAACTTTGCCGCTGGCGCCGTACCAGGCTGTACTGCATCGATCCAGTCTGGTTGTTGTCGCTAAGGGAAAAAATGCATTCCTTATCTTTTTCACTTCGCAGTGTGATTTTTAGCAGTGTGATTTTAGTAGTGTGGTTTCACTAGCAGTAAATAGTGCGTAAAAACGTCTAGCTCTATACAAGTTTGAACCTGCTAACTTTTCTCTAATTATTTAATTATTCTCTCTAGTTGCACCCTTGTGTAGTCTCTCTCTCGCTCTCTAAATAAAAATACTCTCTCTGTCTGCTGGCTTGAAAACTCAAGTGATATAATATCGCGTAAAACATTGAGTTAATCACACTCCCCTTTTTTAAGGGCTCTCTAAAAATATAAAAACTCTCAACTCCCGAAGATTTCTATTAAGAATAAACTTTATCTTGTGCCCTCAATTAAAATATTTAGCTTTCCGCTAATACTGACAATTATTGTTAAATTGACTATTGAGCACTTAGCAACTAGTGAATTTATACCGATTAGTGAATGTTCTCGAATAACTCAAATGCGACTTGTTAACTAACCTGTGAATAATTAAAAGTACTTGAATGTGGTTACATCAGTATTTATTACTTTATTAAACGATTATATTGGCAACAATAGAGAGATATAAAACTGGAAGTGTGAGTGCATTATTTAGCAGTGACATCCCCATCCCCTTTATGATCCAGTGATCTATCCCTAAATTCAATGATGACACCTCAGTTAGAGGCCCTAACATAAAATATATTAATTTCTTTCATTGTGTGTTAGGGGATCGTATAAACTAAATTATCAATAAAATTTAGAAAATATTTATAGGTATAAATATTTTTACCGAAGAAGAGGGGGTGTGTAACGAAGCTACATAATTTTTGGGGATGCGCATATTGACCTCTGATTCTCCGTCTTCACTGTTAAAAGCTACCTGGAGCACGTGGGCTTTTAACCACTATAATCCTTAAGGGTGGCGCCCGAGTTTTCCGAAAACCCCTTAACCGTCCGGAAAACCAAAGTAGCGCTACAGTAGTTTCTAATTTTAAGATTAACTGTGATATGATTTAGATAGTCATTATTGTTGAGAGTTTAGTTGTTTGAGTTAATTAGTAAAGTAATTAGTGCCAGAGTGCATATAGTAACGTGGAATAAATTATTGTTGTGTTAATTGGATTTTGAATAAATGGAGCCAAGATGTCTATCGCACAAGCCAGAGCCATGACAATAATGCTAATTTTACATCCTAGAAGTATAGGTAGGTATAATATATAAGATTCAAAAAAATTATAAAATTATGTTTACCTACTAGTAAAATTTCACAGAATCTTGATCTTTAAACTATTTAGAATATCCATACTTTGGTCATAATAATTTAAAATCATCTTGCTCAGGCTCACACTAAACAATAATTATTATTGTTTGATATAAAATGCCTGTTTGTTTATATTTTTTTGCCGAATGGCAGTTTTTGAAACAAGACATTTGCAAAACATGAAATAACAAATTGTTACTAACTAAGCAAGAAAAGTTTCAACTCACATTTATATTTTTAATAATTTGGAATGATTAAAATATTGTTCGTTCTATCTCTTGTATTTCAATAAATTACTATCGTTTTGACCTTTAATGCGAATGAACCGTGATAAATTGAGTTAAATTATTTATTGTTATTCTTCCTGTGAATGTTATTATAGTTTTAAGCAGTATTTGAAACTGTAGGTGTTCAGATAAACGATCTCTGGGGGTGAGTATGTAGAGGTACATATGAAAAGTATTAAAAACTTCTATATTTTATTCTCAAGTCCTTCATTAAATGATTTATTTTATCAGGCCATGACATTTTCTCTTGTGAAAAATTGAATTTTCTTGCAGGTGTTAGCAGCAATAATGGAAAAACTCTACTTCAAACTGTTTGTATTATCATGGCATTGTTTAACAGCATTTGCTTATTGTACTAATACTGTTTTTATCGAAGAAGTAGTAATGTATGATGATTGCCCACGAGAAAATTATTATTGTGATAATAATTATAAACAGGGAGCGGAAATATATTTGGTTACATGTACTTTTACAAAAATTGAGGAAATTCAAGAAAAACTTAGCGTGTTTGATAGTTATGATGATAGAGGAATAACTTATATAGTTGTGAAACAATCAGTTATTCCAACTTTATTCGATAACGCGTTCACTTACTCCTTTTGGAATAATCTTTTGAAGTTACAATTAGAGGAAACCTAAACTAGTGAAATAAGTCTTGGTTTTTATAATTACTTTTCTGACTTGAGAGAATTACATATTACCAAAAATAAAATTAAAACAATTAACAATGGAACGTTGGGTTCTATATTTTCACTTTGAATTTAACAGAAAACATTATTGAAACTGTGGACAGTTTTTCTGGATTGCCCAATTTAAGAATAGTAGATCTTAGCAAAAACAAAATTGCCATTTTACCTGAAGGTGTTTTCAATAATCAAAAGTATTTGTTATATGTGGACATTTCTAATAATTTTTTGAAAAGTGTTGGTTCAGTATTTAATGGACATATCTTGAAAACAATAAATGTATCTCATAATTTTTTGAATTAATTTGATTTAAGTCAATTACAAAGTTCTATTAATATAACTAAAATTGATCTTTCTAATAACATGATTGATAATCTAACAGATTTTAATGATAGACTTTATATTGAAGATATTTCACTGGCCTATAATAGAATAAAGATTTTACCAAAATTGGACAACATAAGAAAATTGAATATTAGTTACAATAGAATTCACAGCATTAACAAAAATCCATCAAGTGACATCCTTCAAAGCCTTGATCTTAATGGAAATAATATTTCTGTACTAACTGATTATGTATTTGCCAATTTAACCAACTTAGAATATCTATATTTTGGCCATAATAATTTAACATCATTGCCTTTACACAATTCACACAATCTTAAACATTTAGACTTGTCTTTTAATCAAATCAAACAAATCCCTGTTGGATTTTTCAATGACTTAAACGAACTCACATATTTGGACCTGTCTGATAACAATATGATTTTGGATTTCAATGTTTTATTAACTTTAAAATCGTTACAAACAATCAACATTAGAAAAAACAAAGTGCAAAATTTTGATTCCAATATTCTATTAAGCCGGTTTAAATTTTTGAAATCTATTACTGTAAGTGACGACTTTTGGAATTGTACTGAGTTGACTTCTATCATTTACAAACTTCATTTGAAGAATATAAAATTAACTCCTGGTCTAAATAGGAATTATAATATTTTAGGAATAACGTGTAAAAAAGAGGATACAATTAAAATTGGAAGAAAAAATGATGTTGCATTTTATCCAGCCGTAGAAAAAATTGATAGTATTTTAAACAATACTACATTTTTTAAATATCTTCAAATTGTTGCCAAACATATTTCTGATTCTGAAAATAAGTCTCTGGATTTCAGTCAAAATGATAATATTTCAATCAATAAATCAATTAATTATGGAGTAATTTCCCTTAATATATTATTAGCTATGATTTTGTGTTGTTTAATATTTTCTACCTGTTGTAAATTTTCAAAAGATAAATTGTAATGTAATCTCAATATGGTATAAAAAATATTTGAATGTTAATTAAAAATTGTATAATATTTAGTTTGTTTTATTTTTAGTACCTAAATCATTGTATCACAAACAAGAAAAACATCAAACAAATTTTATTTATAAATAATCCATACTACATTTTAGAAAAAAATCAAAATTTATTAGGCTTCAATTAGTTGGCTCTGACGTTGCTGAATAATTTCTTGTCTTTTCACTCTAAGACGGCGTTCCCTTTCGTATTCTTTCATTCTTATGACGAAACTAAAAAAAAACAATGTAATAATCGACAAATTGAAAACATTGAATACTTACTCGTCATATTTGCAGTTGAGAAAATCGTGTTTTTCGTGGGCGCACTTTACGACAAAAGGAAAAGTGTCCTTCCTGCAGCCCTGGTATATGAGCAATTTGTGCGCGCAATAGTCTCGGTCTTGTAGAGGAATTTTCGCTGATACTAGTTCGTCTTTGGTAGCAATCATTACTAAACAACAAAAGAACTATTCAAGGCCTTTGATATTTGTACTGTATTGTGCAAGGGGTAGACCACCATCCCGGAATTGATGCAAACAATTCCTCAAAGGGGAATTTCTTTCGCATAATTCCTCAAAATTCCTGCAAATTCCTCCAGGGACTCTGTAATGAATAGAGATGTTTTCTCTATCTCTATTGACGTCTCCTCTCTATTGATTTCGATAAGAGAGAAAAAGACAGCAAGAGCCATAGCGATAGGGATAACAATCTTTATCCGTTACAGAGTTCCAGCCCAGATACCCCATCACAAATTCCTCCAGATACCCCACCACAAACTTCTCCAAATACCCCACAAATTCCTCTAAAAAAAGGGAAAATTTTGAAACTTTCTGCATGTAAAGAAGAAGGTGAGAAGATCATTTTCCCAAAATTTAAAAGTTTTCCAGTAGAAAACAGCAACATAAGAAATCTTGGAAATCAACCTACACAAACTGAATTAATTGAAAATACAGTCTCCCACATTTCAAAGTTTTCCTGGAAAACTAGTGAAGGGAACATGTTGAAACTTTTTGCATGTAAAGAGGAAGGTGAGAAGCTCATTTTCCCAAAATTTCAAAATTTTCCAGTGGAAAACAGCAACATGAAAAAACTTGGAAATCAACCTACAATAACTGAATTAATTGAAAATACAGTCTCACATATTTCAGAGTTTTCCTGGAAATCTAATGAAGGAAAATTTTGAAACTTTTTGCATGTGAAGAGAAAGGTGAGAAGCTCATTTTCCCAAAATTTCAAAATTTTCCAGTGGAAAACAGCAACATTAAAAATGTTAGAATTCAACCTACAAAAACTGAATTAGTTGAACATACAGTCTCACATATTTTAAAGTTTTCCTGGAAAACTAGAGAAGGGAAAATTTTGAAACTTTTTGCATGTAAAGAGGAAGCCGAGGAGGAAGCTGAGCTCATTTTCCCAAAATTTTCCAGTGGAAAACAGCAACATGAAAAATCTTGGAAATCAACCTACACAAACTGAATTGGTTGAAAATACAGTCTCCCACATTTCAAAGTTGTCCTGGAAAACTAGTGAAGGGAGAATTTTGAAATTTTTTGTGTGTAAAGAGGAAGATGAGAAGCTCATTTTCTCAACGTTTCAAATTTTTTCAGTGAAAAACAGCAAAATGAAAAATCTTGGAAATCAACCTACAAAAACTAAATTAGTTGAAAATACAGTCTCACACATTTCAAAGTTTTCCTAGAAAACTAGTGAAGGGAAAATTTTGAAACTTTTTGCATGTAAAGAGGAAGCTGAGAAGCTCATTTTCCCAAAGTTTCAAATTTTTCCAGTGAAAAACAGCAAAATGAAAAATCTTGAAAATCAACCTACAAAAACCAAATTAGTTGAAAATACAGTTTCACACATTTCAAAGTTTTCCTAGAAAATTAGTGAAGAGAAAATTTTGAAACTTTTTGCATGTAAAGAAGAAGGTGAGAAGCTCATTTTCCCAAAATTTCAGATGTTTTCAGTGGAAAATAACAACATGAGGAATATTGGAAATCAACCTACAGTAACTGGATTAATTGAAAATACAATCTCACATATTTCAGCGTTTTCCTGGAAAACTAGCGGAGGGAAAATTTTGAAACTTTTTGCATGTAAAGAGGAAGGTGAGAAGCTCATTTTCTCAAAGCTTCAGATTTTTCCAGTGGAAAATAACAACATGAGGAATATTGGAAATCAACCTACAATAACTGAATAAATTGAAAATACAGTCTCACATATTTCAGAGTTTTCCTGGAAAATTAGTGAAGGGAAAATTTTGAAACTTTTTGCAGGTGAAGAGGAAGCTGAGAAGCTCATTTTCCCAAAATTTTTCAGTGGAAAACAGCAACATGAAAAATCTTGGAAATCAACCTACACAAACTGAAATGGTCGAAAATACAGTCTCCCACATTTCGAAGTTGTCCTGGAAAACTAGTGAAGAGAAAATTTTGAAACTTTTTGCATATGAAAAAGAAGGTGAGAAGCTCATTTTCCCAAAATTTCAGAATTTTTCAGTGGAAAATAACAACATGAGGAATATTGGAAATCAACCTACAATAACAGAATTAATTGAAAATACAGTCTCACATATTTCAGAGTTTTCCTGGAAAACTAGTGAAGGGAAAATTTTGAAACTTTTTGCATGTAAAGAGGAAGCTGAGAAGCTCATTTTCCCAAAGTTTCAAATTTTTCCAGTGAAAAACAGCAAAATGAAAAATCTTGAAAATCAACCTACAAAAACCAAATTAGTTGAAAATACAGTTTCACACATTTCAAAGTTTTCCTAGAAAATTAGTGAAGAGAAAATTTTGAAACTTTTTGCATGTAAAAAAGAAGGCGAGAAGCTCATTTTCCCAAAATTTCAGATGTTTTCAGTGGAAAATAACAACATGAGGAATATTGGAAATCAACCTACAGTAACTGGATTAATTGAAAATACAATCTCACATATTTCAGCGTTTTCCTGGAAAACTAGCGGAGGGAAAATTTTGAAACTTTTTGCATGTAAAGAGGAAGGTGAGAAGCTCATTTTCTCAAAGCTTCAGATTTTTCCAGTGGAAAATAACAACATGAGGAATATTGGAAATCAACCTACAATAACTGAATAAATTGAAAATACAGTCTCACATATTTCAGAGTTTTCCTGGAAAACTAGTGAAGGGAAAATTTTGAAACTTTTTGCATGTAAAGAGGAAGCTGAGAAGCTCATTTTCCCAAAGTTTCAAATTTTTCCAGTGAAAAACAGCAAAATGAAAAATCTTGAAAATCAACCTACAAAAACCAAATTAGTTGAAAATACAGTTTCACACATTTCAAAGTTTTCCTAGAAAATTAGTGAAGAGAAAATTTTGAAACTTTTTGCATGTAAAGAAGAAGGTGAGAAGCTCATTTTCCCAAAATTTCAGATTTTTTCAGTAAAAAATAACAACATGAGGAATATTGAAAATCAACCTACAGTAACTGGATTAATTGAAAATACAATCTCACATATTTCAGCGTTTTCCTGGAAAACTAGCGGAGGGAAAATTTTGAAACTTTTTGCATGTAAAGAGGAAGGTGAGAAGCTCATTTTCTCAAAGCTTCAGATTTTTCCAGTGGAAAATAACAACATGAGGAATATTGGAAATCAACCTACAATAACAGAATTAATTGAAAATACAGTCTCACATATTTCAGAGTTTTCCTGGAAAACTAGTGAAGGGAAAATTTTGAAACTTTTTGCATGTAAAGAGGAAGCTGAGAAGCTCATTTTCCCAAAGTTTCAAATTTTTCCAGTGAAAAACAGCAAAATGAAAAATCTTGAAAATCAACCTACAAAAACCAAATTAGTTGAAAATACAGTTTCACACATTTCAAAGTTTTCCTAGAAAATTAGTGAAGAGAAAATTTTGAAACTTTTTGCATGTAAAGAAGAAGGTGAGAAGCTCATTTTCCCAAAATTTCAGATTTTTTCAGTAAAAAATAACAACATGAGGAATATTGAAAATCAACCTACAGTAACTGGATTAATTGAAAATACAATCTCACATATTTCAGCGTTTTCCTGGAAAACTAGTGAAGGGAAAATTTTGCAACTTTTTGCATGTAAAGAGGAAGATGAGACGCTCATTGTCCCAAAATTCCAAATTTTTTCTGTAGAAAACAGCAACATTAAAAATTTTGGAAGTCAACCTACAAAAACTGAATTAATTGAAAATACAATCTCACATATTTTAAAATTTTCTTGGAAAACTAGAGGAGAAGGGAAAATTTTGAAACTTTTTGCATGTAAAGAGGAAGGTGAGAAGCTCATTTTCCCAAAATTTCAGAATTTTTCAGTGGAAAATAACAACATGAGGAATATTGGAAATCAACCTACAATAACAGAATTAATTGAAAATACAGTCTCACATATTTCAGAGTTTTCCTGGAAAACTAGTGAAGGGAAAATTTTGAAACTTTTTGCATGTAAAGAGGAAGCTGAGAAGCTCATTTTCCCAAAGTTTCAAATTTTTCCAGTGAAAAACAGCAAAATGAAAAATCTTGAAAATCAACCTACAAAAACCAAATTAGTTGAAAATACAGTTTCACACATTTCAAAGTTTTCCTAGAAAATTAGTGAAGAGAAAATTTTGAAACTTTTTGCATGTAAAGAAGAAGGTGAGAAGCTCATTTTCCCAAAATTTCAGATTTTTTCAGTAAAAAATAACATGAGGAATATTGAAAATCAACCTACAATAACTGAATTAATTGAAAATACAGTATCACATATTTTAAAGTTTTCCTGGAAAACTAGAAAAGAGAAAATTAAAAATACAGTCTCACACATTTCAAAGTTTTCCTAGAAAATTAGTGAAGAGAAAATTTTGAAACTTTTTGCATGTAAAGAAGAAGGTGAGAAGCTCATTTTCCCAAAATTTCAGATTTTTTCAGTAAAAAATAACAACATGAGGAATATTGAAAATCAACCTACAATAACTGAATTAATTGAAAATACAGTATCACATATTTTAAAGTTTTCCTGGAAAACTAGAAAAGAGAAAATTAAAAATACAGTCTCACACATTTCAAAGTTTTCCTGGAAAACTAGTGAAGGGAAAATTTTGAAACTTTTTGCATGTAAAGAGGAAGGTGAGAAGATCATTTTTTCAAAATTTCAAATTTTTCCAGTGAAAAACAGTAACATGAAAAATCTTGTAAATCAACCTACAAAAACTGTATTCATTATTCCTTTGAATTTTTTAAATTTGAGATTTTCCTTCAAATTCCTCATAAATTTCTCACAAATTCTCCCAAATTCTTCATAAATTCCTCCAAATTCCCTATAAATTCCCCAAATTCTCATAAATTCGGATAAGTCCCTACAAATTCTCCACAAATTCCTCTAAATTCCCCACAATTTCCTCTAAATTCCCCACATTTTTGGTAAAGAATTCCTAGGTGGTTTGCCCCTTGGTATTGTGTATTTAGGTAAACAACATTTAAAATCTTGAATCTCAAAGACTTAATTTAATAATACTCAAAGTTAACATGGATAACATACATATACAAAATCAAGACAAGCCTTGGCTAAGACCCAATTTCTGTCAAAAATAAAACTAAACTGTTATTCCTCAGCTAGTGGCTTATGCCTCAGCTTATGCTATGTTTTCAATGTTGCACTAGGCACATATATTACATACTGGATACAGGGTTAGCAAACAATTTTCTCTACTCTTTGGTTTTTGGATGGATATTTTCATATGGATCAACACAAATATTTACAGAAAAATCCTACCAGAATATTGCACAACAAAAAAAAAACAGTGTAGAATGTTCTAATAGGTTCAAGAAAGTTTTAAATTAGTTCTAAAGAGTCATGACGATTTTCAATATATTCTGAAAGCAAGTCCTGAAAGTCTCTAGTTCTAGATTGTTTCTAAATGTTCCATATGATTTGTAATGTAAAGTGTTCTAGAGTGTTCCAAAATATTCCTGGAAATTTTACCTTGGATCTAAATTTTAACTCTAAAGTATCTCAAGCTTTCTTGAGTGTTCACGAAAGTTAGGAAGTGTTCTGGGTCTGTTTTCAAACTTCTAATTTGATTCTACAGTGTTCTGTAGCATTTTGCAATATTCCTGCAAGTTCTAAAGCTTATCAAAGTTCTAAATTTATTTTAATGTGCTCTAGAGCATCTCAAAATGCTTTAAAATATTCCAAATTGGCACAAGCACATTCTGATACTTCTGAAATTGAAATTTTAAATAAGTTCTGTGTTTCAGAGTGTTCTAATATATTCATGGAAGTTATAAGTTAGTTCTAAAGTGTCATGTGACGATCTACAAGATATCCTGATAGTTCCTACTTCTAGATTGTTTTGAGGATTGTTTCCAAATTTTCCATATGATTTGTAAAGTGTTCTAGAGTGATCCCAAAGCTTTCTAAAATGTTGCCAAAAGTTCAGAAGTGTTCTGGTCTGTTCTAGAACATGTGTTTAATGTTTTTAAAGATTCCAATTTTTCTCCAACAAATTCAGGAATATTGAAAAATTAATTGAAAGTTTTCTGGAACTTATCAATGTTCCGACCAAAGTTCTGAATTGCTCTAGAGCGTCTTAAAACTTCTAATTGATTTGCTGATAATTTTGAAGCACTGGAGTGTGTTAGAAGTTCGAAAATAGTAAGTTCTAGTACATAAAAATAGGTATACATCAAAAACACAGATATCCACCAAAAACATCTCTATCTACTATAATACAATTAGCCAGATTTTTGCCAACCCTGCCCTGATTAGACTCAAATAAAATAAATACGTTCCAGGGCTATTTCACCCCTGAACTGCTACTTTTTGAAGATTTGGGGCTCTATAATCAAAACCTAAAACTATTTTCTTACCCCTAGGCTTTCTACCATTGGGAAAACCCAGCATCGGATCAAAAGTGGGTTCTTCTTCCGGATGGGGCGTTATCTCGGGATGCCGCCACAAATCGATACCATTCTGAGGGACGTGACCCAGGAAATTACCCATTGTATAATAAATTAAAAGAGGAAATTCTTTTTGGAAAATATTTGACTCAAAAAGAATTTATTTTAAGGTTAGGGTTACATAAGTTTTTGACAGATTCCTTGTTGGTTTGGTTTGTTCCAGCAACAAAGAAAAACTGTTAATTTTTTGTTCCAAACTCTACACCTACTCCGAGTCCCGATTTTAAAACAAATATTTGTGGGTTTCCTGGAAAACAATTAATAATTAATTAGTTGCCGCCTAAATTCTCGTGATTCAGATTATTGTTTACGTTTCACAAAAAGAATAATCAATAATTCATCAACCAATAACCAGTTGACTCAAGGAATATTCAAATTTTAGTAAGGAAATATGGGTGTTCCACAACAAATATGTTTTGTTTTTGTTCTTATTTTATCAGGTTAGTGCCTAAAATTAATAACAATATAGTAATTAATGGATGGTACAATAATTAATATGGTCCATAGTTTAATTATGTATATGGCAAAATCATATTGTAGTGTATAGTAGTGAATAATCGTATGACCCTTCAAGGGTATTAAAAACTTCTGAACAAACTAATTTACTAGTAATTATTTATTTTACACTCAAGACTTTATTTCCATCTTTTGAGAAATCAAATTAATTACATACATTTTCCTTGAACCTCTTGAAGGTGGGTTCAACTTGAACCCACCTTCAAGATTCACTTTAGGTTGTCTGGTAATTAGAAACAGATGAGGTCATCTCTTGTGCCTTATGGAGATTTGCATTATGTTTGGGCACCTCAGCTGACGTCATAAAAGTTATCTTTACTCTTTCAAACAACCTTGACCTACCTCTACATTACATTAACTACCATTACATTACATTACCTATTGTTAACGCCCGACGAAGCTAAATGAAGATTCTATAATTTTGTTATAAGTGGTTAATAGTGGTTAGCCATGTGCAGGTAAAAAAAAAAAGAATATTGATGAAGACCAGTGACAATTATTTTTGAATGTGACAATCAATCAATTAATTAATCCAAAAAAGTTACAGAATTTGATCAGTTTGTCTAGTAAAATCTTATTATTAATCTTTATTGTAACTTTCAGCAACCATTATAATCACTGTTTCCATTTTATTGCACTTTTCTCTAAATCATGCCCAGTTTTTAAATAAAATTTACAGTCCTCCTAGTACAGTCAAAAACATTTGGTCCAGTCGACCCGAGATCCAGTTTTACCAGAAAAAACGATAAGTGGAGAGAAAACGTGTGTAGTACTGTTATGCAATAATTGTTGTGGAACAAGAAAGAAATAACTTCAAGAACCGGGTGAGTCGTTCCATGTTAGAACAATATTTCGAAGATTCACCTTCTACCCAAACGTCAACGTCATAAATTGTCATAATCTTGTCTAGAATTTAAAACGAGTATTTGTCCTCTATTTGTGTCAATTCATTGGCGGGCTTTTCATACAAGTTTTTCACGATAATAGTCCACTCCAATCAATATAGAAATGACAGAAATCGATACTCTCACAAAAAAACGAGGTTCAGTAAAGGCTGTACTCACTAACTTTATAAAATTTGTTGAAACTCTCACAGTCAAACCAGAATTAGGAAAGTCAGAATTTCTTCAATTACAAGATAGGATAGCAAGGGTAGAAAGAGCACTTTCTGATTTTCAGGAAATTCAGACTGAAATTGAGGCAAAAGTAGATGCAGTTTCAGTAGAAAAGCAATTAGACGAGCGCTATAAAATTGAAGATTCATTTTATAATTGGATTGCTAAGGGTAAAGAGTTGAGAGAAAATTATGAAGAAAAGAACCAAAAAAATAATGATATCGATTCAGTTCATTCTTACTCTACTGTTGCCTCAAAATCAGGTCCACAACAAAACATTTTAAATGCAGTCAAGTTACCAACCATTACATTGCCTAAATTTCAGGGTAAATATGAAGGATGGCTTGAGTTCCGCGACACCTTCGAGTCCCTTATTCACAAAAACGAGTCATTGTCAGAAATACAAAAATTTCACTATTTAAGGGCCTCGCTTGAGGGTAGTGCTGCGTTGGTAATAAAGTCTGTCGAGTTCTCTAGTTCTAGTTACAGTGTTGCATGGGACACTTTATGTGAACGGTTCAATAACAATAAATTGCTAGTACACAATAACGTAAAAGCTTTGTTTGGTTTAGAAGCAATTCAAAAAGAATCGTCTGATAAAATTCGCAAGTTAATCGATGATATGTCCAAAAATTTGAGAGCATTGGAACAGCTTAACCAAAGTACGACAAATTGGGATACTCTTATAATTTTCCTAATTGTTTCTAAATTAGATAATAAGACGATTAGTGAATGGGAAAATTATAACATAAGGCTAACCAAATTGCCGGTACTTCAAGATTTAAAAACTTTTCTTAAGGGTAGGGCCGACCTACTTGAAACTATCGAGTATAAAAATCAAGGAAAGTTTGAGTATAGTCGCGATTATAATAAAAAACCAGTTTCCAATCAAAGTACTAGTAGATCTTTGGTTGCAAGTACCTATTCTTGCAATTATTGCAAAAAAGAGCATTCTATTTATTCATGTCCCGAATTCGCTAATTTAGGCATAGAACAAAGGTTAGACTTTGTCAGAAAGTCTAGTTTATCCGTAAATTGTCTAAGATGGGGTCATAATGCTCGTCAGTGCAAATTAGGGCCATGCAAGAAATGCAAAGCGTGGCACAATACTCTGCTACACGCAGACAAAGTAAAAACGCTCGATAAAAATCAAGAGACTAGTAAATCTGACACACAAAAGCTTAGTATAAATTGTACTAGTGGTATCATAGGTACCGGGTCTGGTCACATATTTTTATCAACAGCGTTAGTAAAAATTAAATCCAGAAGTGGTCAAGTCTATAATGCTAGAGTCTTGTTGGATTCAGCCTCTCAGAGTTGTTACATAACTACAAAACTTTGCAATTATTTAGGGGTTGATAAACAAAAGGTTGATATATTGGTTTCAGGTATATCAAACAAAACTATTCCCATAACTGAAAGGTGCAATGTAGAAATACAATCTTTGTATAGTAATTTCAAAGCCAAATTGTCATGTCTAGTAATAAACGAGTTTACAACTTCATTGCCTAGTGTAGAGGTTGACATATCTTCTTTAAAAATTCCTATTGATATTTTTCTAGCTGATCCCGAGTTTTATAAACCTAAAGAAGTAGATTTGCTGGTGGGTGCTGAACTATTTTGGACTCTGATAGCTTCGGGTCAGATCTCCTGCGGCAAGCATGGTCCTACTATACGGGAAACAAAGTTAGGCTGGGTCGTGTCAGGTGCTATGGGTATATTAAACCATAAAAATAAAAATAAAAAACAATCTTTTTGCCATTTAACTACTTTAGAGTCGGTCAATTTGAATGATATTTTGTATAAGTTTTGGGAGCTTGAGGAAGTCAATGTAACCAAGCCGCACTCTAAAGAAGAAATTTTTTGTGAGGAGAATTTCACCAAAACAACCACTCGAGATCAAGAAGGTCGTTTCATAGTAACTATGCCATTAAAGGAATCTCCTGAATGTCTAGGTCAATCGAGGTCGAATGCAGAAAAATCTTTCTATTCATTAGAACGTCGCTTAAGCAAGAACGAGTATTTACGTGATTTATATGTTAAATTCATGCGCGAGTATCAGGACTTAGGACATATGTCTGTAGATAACAGATATCCTGAACCAGTAGTTGAATATTTTGCTAGCCATCACGGGGTCTTGCGAGAAGAAAGCGTCACAACTAAATTACGAGTAGTGTTTAATTGTTCAGCATCGACCAGCAATGGTTTATCCCTAAATAACATTCAGCATAAAGGTCCAGTTTTACAAGACGATTTACTAGGTATCGTCTTACGATTTCGCTGTCATGCTTATGTATTTTCATCTGATGTTGCCAAAATGTATAGGGCAGTGCTTATTGCTCCAGAGCAGCGACAACTACAAAAAATATTTTGGCGAGAAAATTCAAATGAAGATTTAAAGCCATATGTTCTTAACACTGTTACTTATGGGCAGACTGCTAGTAGTTTCTTGGCAATAAGGTGCCTTTTTGAGTTAGCAAATGAGTGCTCTGATCCTGAAATAGCTCGAATTATTAAACGAGACATGTATGTCGATGATCTGCTATCAGGAGCTCCTAGTATTGAGCAAGCACAAGCAATATGTCAAAAGATTTCACATGTTTTCCAGAGCGGCTGTTTCGATCTTAGAAAATGGCGTTCAAATGATGAACGAGTTCTTAAAACTATTTCAGATTCTTATTCAAATGATAAAATTCTAGAATTTGCTCCAGAAAAAGTCCCTAAAACTTTAGGTCTAACTTGGTGTTCAAAATCAGATTCTTTAATCTACAATATCAATTTGCCAGATACGATTTTTTTCACAAAACGAATTGTTTTATCTATAATTGCAAAAGTGTTTGATCCTCTTGGAATTCTTGCTCCTACTACTATATTAGCAAAGATGTTGCTGCAAACATTGTGGATAGAAAAAATTTCGTGGGATGCACGGTTGCCAGATCATCTTTTAAGCATTTGGATAAAACTAAAAAACGAACTTCCTCTCATAAATAATTTTCCAGTACCTAGGCATGTAGTTTGTAAAGATTTCAATAAAATTGAACTACATGGTTTCTGCGATGCGTCTCAGTCAGCGTACGGAGCCTGTATTTATTTGAGGAGTATGAATCAGAATAGCGAAACACGAACTCAACTTTTGTGTGCTAAGAGCAAGGTTGCTCCAATCAAGTCTTTATGCACTATACCTAAACTTGAGTTATGTGCTGCATTATTAATGTCACGCCTTGCTGAAAAAGTTGATAAATCCCTAGCTATTAAATTTAAAAGTCGCGTTTTTTAGGTCGGATTCAACAATTACTCTAGCATGGATTCGAACAAGTCCTAGTTTGTTGAAAACTTTTGTTGGAAATAGAGTATCTGAAATCCAAAGCCTAACCAACGAAACAGAATGGAAATACGTTCCAACTCAGGACAACCCGGCTGATCATGTTTCTAGGGGACTATACCCCAGCCAGTTGATGAAATGTAAGTCTTGGTTCTGTGGACCTGCTTGGTTGGATTTAGATAGATCACAGTGGCCGGAAATCAATTTTACCAAGATAGAAAGTTTGCCAGAATTAAAACCACAAGTAATAAATTCTATGATTTCTAGTAAGCATTCAAAGGCTTGGTTTACCCTTTGAACGTTTTTCAATTGTTTCAAGAATGGTTAGAGTTATGGCTTTTATTTTAAGATTTTGTTCTAATGAAACTAATAAATTTCCTTGTTATCTAACAGTACCTGAAATGAATTTAGCTAAAATTCAGCTAAGTAAACTTAGCCAGCAAGAGTCGTTTCACGAAGAAATAGACATTTTGAGCAAAAATGGAGC